CACATCATGTGGTGTGAGCTTCGGTTTGCGGTGTTCACTCGCAAGGTACCCATCTATGGACCGTACCTGTTTCTGCTGCTCTCCACCACTTGGGAGAAGATGTACCTTCGTGATGAGTTTCCTGCTCTAGACTGGATTCGCCATGAGTCCATCAGCCTCCGCGTCAAGCCCAACTGGGCCAACGCCACTACCTGTGCTGAGGCCTCTTCTGCTAGGAGGGTTGTTGGTGAGAAGGAGGCTGCTGCTGAGAATATTGCTGAGGACCATGCTGCTAGGTCCACCACACCCTCCTCTGAGCCGTCGTGGGCCAAAAAGTTAAAGGAAAAAATGAAGACTCTTTTCTGCATGCAGGCAAAGGGACAGTACAGGGCTCACGTGGCAGACAAGGAGAGTCGCCGCCGTGACAAGAAGGTTATGAGGCTCTTTGGAGAGGATGTGTCTGGCGGGTTTGAGGACGTCATCACGCCTGAGGCTGCCTGGATGTCGAAGCAGGGATACAAGTGGACCAGTTCAGAGGAAGACATCGAGGAGCCCGTCCCTGCCGCTGAGTCTGACGAGGAGCAGTGGGACGACTTCTCGTCCTGAGCCACCCCGTGTGTGTAGGTGTCCTCTCTGCCTTTTTGGCGTCTCGATGCCAAAGGGGGAGAGAGTGTAGGGATTTTCGTTGTGTCGTGCTTGGTGTGTTTGTTTGCGTTGTCGTTTGGACCTCATTTGCCTCGTTTGCTTTTGTTTGGTTTGTGCCTTCGTACCTATCCTACATATGGTGTAAGACATATGCACTCCATCTATCTTAGTTAACTTATGTTTGTGCTATCTTGTTTAGTGATAGCCTTCCTATTACTAGATATGCCTTGTCTCTATAATATAGAGGGAGCTTTGATCCTAGTATGTGTGTCGTGCAGTCCAAAGCACTCATCTAGGTGGCACACATCTAGGGGGGGCCCGTCTATATTCTAGAGAGGAGGGGTTTGCGGTTGCTTAATATTATTTCCCTTGTGCAAATCCCGTATTGTCATCAATCCACCAAAAAGGGGGAGATTGTAAGGGCATATTTATCCCCAAGGTGTTTTGGTGATTGATGACAACGCGTTTGTGGACTAATCGTGTGCCTTGAGTATCCCAGACATTTCATCGCTAGGCACAACACGGTTGGGTGCCCCTCGAAGACTGTTGAAGACAACGTTTTTTCTACGTTTCTTTTTGGTGGATTTGAGTCGTAGGAAAGCCGTACTATTAAGAAGGGGTCCGCGTCGGAAAGGTTTGGGTGGAATCATCACGTACATGTCTCCTTCTTGTCCCCTCCTTTTCCCTTGGAGCTTCCTCCGCTTTCTTGCCTCCTTGGTTCTGGCTGCTGAGTTGGGCCGCGGTAGTACTGCTCCCAGGAGAGCGGTAGTACCGTAGGCACCAGCGGTAGTACCGTGCGGTGGCGTGGTAGTACCGCAGGTACCCACGGTAGTACCGCTCCCCTGGAGCTGCACTACCGCTGCCCACCAGGCTAGTACCGCTCCTTCGCGGTAGTAGGGGCGGATGTAATTTTTTACATCCGCACCTACCGCGGTAGTACCGCTTTCGCTCCGCGGTAGTACCACTTTTGCTCCGCGGTAGTACCGTGCTATGTTGTCAGGTAGTAGTACCGCCCCTCGGCAGTACTACTGTGTCGGCTTTTTGCTTCTTCCATTTCTTTGCGGAAGTAGGCACAGATGTTTCCTCCCCCCCTGGCTAGGGGATTTCTGCCTCGCGGTAGTACCGCATGGAGGCGCGGTAGTACCGCGCTCGCGGAAGTACCGCGCTCGCGGAAGTACCGCCCTCAGCACCTGCACGTCAGATCTGACCTTGCTGTTGCTGGGGTTGCGGCAGTACCGCGAGCCTGTACAGTAGTACCGCATGGCCGTGCGGTAGTACCGCTTGGTAACAAGCGGTAGTACCGCGAGGCCCTGCGGTAGTACCACTGGCCTGGCGCGGTAGTACCGCTAGCCGCGGGCTGGTAGGTGGGTAGCGGTTGGATCTTTGTCCTACACTACATAAGGGGTCCCCTTCTTCCCCGTTGACTCGTCTCTTCCAACCCTAAACTCCATTATTGCTCTAAGCTCCATTTTTGCCCGATCTCACTCCCTAGCCAATCAAACTTGTTGATTTGTTCGGAAGTGGTTGAGAAGGCCTCGATCCACACTTCCACCAAGAGAAATTTGATTCCCCCCACTAATCCCTTGCGGATCTTATTACTCTTGGGTGTTTGAGCATCCTAGATGGTTGAGGTCACCGCGAAGCCATAGTCCATTGTGGTGAAGCTTCATGGTGTCGTTGGGAGCCTCCAATTGAGTTGTGGAGATTGCCCCAACCTTATTTGTAAAGGTTCGGTCGCCGCCTCCAAGGGCACCAATAGTAGAATCACAGCATCTCGCATTGTGTGAGGGCGTGAGGAGAATACAGTGGCCCTAGTGGCTTCTTGGGGAGCATTGTGCCTCCACACCGCTCCAACGGAGACGTACTTCCTCTCAAAGGGAAGGAACTTCGGCAACACATCCTCGTCTCCACCGTCTCCACTCTTGGTTATCTCGTGCCTTTACTTGTGCAAGCTTATTTGTTTCATATCACTTGCTTGCTTGTGTTCCTATCCTTGTTGCATCATATAGGTTGCTCACCTAGTTGCATATCTAAACAACCTACTTTGATGCAAAGTTTAAATTGTTAAAGAAAAGCTAAAAATTGTTAGTTGCCTATTCACCCCCCCCCCTCTAGTCAACCATATCGATCCTTTCACTCGTGGTCATCGACAATGGGGCGAAGCTCCAGCTCCTCTTCCTCATCATCGAGGTCCACAAAGAGCCACTCCCTCTCACGTAGGTGAGGTGGATACGGTGGTAGTTTTCTGCCACCTCTCATCAGACTGGTTCGAGTCGAGGATGGCCGCTTGCTCCACCTCGAACAACACCGCTGCCTCCATGACCTGGGCGTGTTGGAACTTCACCTCCGTCTTCTCCATGCCAAAGCCGTAGGGCTCAAACTCCATGCCCAACGCCTCCTCCTCCTTTGGTACCTCCTGCTGCTTCGCTACAATTTGAGTGTCGTGACACTCTTCGGTCGCGATCTCTGCCCGGCATTCGGAGTGAGCATCTTGTAGTAGGTTATTTTTCAAGAGACTCAATTTACCTCGTGTTCACCATTCTTGCTCCCCACCAAAAATGTTTGATCATTTTATTAAGATGCTTACAAAGACCTTCGGGGAGTTTAAAACAAGACATGGAGAAAACCGGAATTGCTTGTGCCACTAATTTTATGAGGACCTCCTTGCCCGTGAGACATTATTTTTTTCAATCCGTCGTTTGGTCTTACCTCATAGTGCATCTTTGAGGTACTTAAAAGCTCTCATCTTCGACATGCCAACATATTTTCCATTCAATGTTCCATTGGGTACCTGCAAAATATCCTTCTCCCCTGCTCCGACAATTTTTATGTATGATTAATCTCGTTGAATTTGAATTATTATTGTGCTAGACTTATTTGCATGCTACGTATGATTTGTGCTATTTTTTATCCGAACTTTAATGAAATCCGTCGTGTTTACATGAATTTCATCCGGTTAGTTGAAACAATGTTTGAAATGTAAGCGGACGTATGCAGCTGGCATTGGATGGACGGCTCTTGCATCCGTGTCCGCAGACTAATGCCGGAGCAAATTTACGGATAGCATTTCCCCCTACCCCTCAAAAAAAGAAAAAGGAAAATTAAAGGAGAAATTTCCCCTTTTCTTCCGCCGCTCCTGCTCCGCTCCACTGCACAGACAGCACGCCCCGCTCCAAACCCTCATCCCCACCGCGGCGCTTCCGGCGACGGCCATGGACACCCGGGTGCTCCCCGTTACCATGGATCCCGCGGTCGAGGTGAAGTCCCGGCGCGGCCGCCATGACCCGGACGAGATGGAGGGCCTCTTCTCCCGCATGCTCTCCCGGACCCGCAACGTCCTCCCAGACCCGCCCGTCTCCGTCGATGGCCGCCTCTTCGCTCTCCTCCCCCACGACTCCGTCGACGGCATCAGGCGCCTCCCCGACATGCTCCTCGGCAACATCATCTCCCGCCTCCCAGTCAAGGAAGCCGTGCGCACCGCCGCGCTCTCCCGGCGCTGGCGCAGGGTCTGGCGCTCCACCCGCTCGTCCTCGTCGACTCCCACATCCTCCCCGCAGACGCAGGCACCGCGGTCGCGCGCGCCAACGCGCGGCGCATCACCTCTGCCGTCTCCCGCATCCTCGCCGCGCACCCGGGTCCCTTCCGCTGCGTCCACCTCACCAGCTACTACATGGAAGAGTTCGATGGCCTGCTCAGGCGCTGGCTCCAGATCCTCGCTGACAAGGGCATCGAGGAACTCATCCTCGTCAACCGCCCAATGCCGCTCGGCTACCTTCTCCGCTCCATGTTCTTTCTCCCCTCCACGTTCTTAGGCATGACCACCCTCACCTGTCTCTACCTCGGCCTCTGGAAGTTTCCCGACATGGCCGACGTCAAGCGCACCACCTTTTTCCCTAACCTCCGTGAGCTTGGGCTCTGCACCGTCCTCATGGAGAGCAAGGATTTGGACTTCATCCTTGACAGGAGCCCCGTGCTTGAGACGCTCTGTGTGGAAAGCAATATTTTCAATCTTGGCCTTCGCCTTGTCAGCCAAAGCATCCGGTGCGTGAAGATCATCATGTCCTTCTTTGAGGAAATCGCTGTGGTGGACGCCCCATGCCTGGAGTGACTCATCCTTTCAGGTGGTTGGACCAAAGACGGGGTCTGCACCAAGGTGAAGATCAGCAATGCCCCCAAGTTGCAATCGTTGGGGTACTTGGATTTAGAAAATCATGTCCTAGAGTTTGGCAACACTGTCATCAAGGTGCCTCATCTTTTCCATTCGTTCTACTATACATCATACATAAATGATGAATGCATATGTGTGATCTTTCTTCTATTGATTGAGTGCATTGAGATTGCAATTGCAGGCTGGGACAAAGGCGAGCCCAAGCACCATGGTACCAAGTGTGAGGATCCTGGCTTTGGATGTGCGTTGTGGAGTCTGCAGTTATGCCAAGATGATCCCGGCTGTCCTCAGATGCTTTCCGAATGTTGAGACACTCCACATCATGGTGAAGCCCCTGGTGCTTCTTTTGGCATTCATTTGCACCATCATGTACTATATGCACATTATTGTCAATTGCTGCTGTTGCTGTATGATCCATTAACAGATGATGAATTTCATGTGCACTAATTTAATTAATTTTACAGTCTGGAGAAACTGGTCAACCCTCTGGCAAGCACAACCTTGAGTTCTTGAATGAGTCTGGTACCATAAAATGCATCCGCTCGTGCATCAAACTGCTGGTTTTCCATGATTTCCGAGGGGATCGAAGTGAGCTTGCTTTCCTCAAGTTTTTCTTTAAGAGTGCGTTGGTGCTGGAGGAGGCGTTGATAGTGATGGCAAATGGAAGTTTCACTTTGATGGAGGATATGCTTTCCAAAGTGAAGCCTCTGGGATCCATGAAACGGGCCAGTTCAGACTCCACAATCACTATTAACCCCCAAGGAGGTAGCATTTGGAACTTTAAGAAAGCATCCGACTTTTCTCTTTGCGACCCTTTCGCGAACGACTGAAGTCAAAGGTGCCTGTTTATTTCATGGTCACTAGCTCTGGAAATTGTTATGTTTTGTGGTCATAGCATGGACATGCACTATTTTCAGCTTTTCAATGATCCGCCTGACTCTTGTTTCTACAAACATGATTAGCTTAAGTGTTGAAGTTAGTGCTACCGTCTTCAATGATGCAAATGACTATCATTCTGCGCCTCTGCGGTAATTGCAGAGCACCTATTATACTCATGTTAATTGTGATTTCATTAGCTAGGTTTGAGCTCCTGGGTATGGCGTTACATTGCACAATTGCTGCCATACGTATGAGGCTTGACAATTTACTCTAGGCAGAAGATATTGATGCTCCCAGAGTGTGCCATCTTTGGTTCTGATTGATTTGCATAGGTGTGCCAAGTCAATTATTATTGCAGCTATTTATGCCCTATATGGTTCTTCAGTTGTGTTATTTGAATCCTTATTTGCAAGCTAATTTGGTTACGTTTGCAACATGTTAAGGTAATGGTAACTTGAACAACATGGGCATGGCTAAGGCCAGGTGGCAAAAGTAGTAGAGTTTCTTTTCTTCTGCAGTGAGATCCTTATGAAGAATAACTTTCAGAGAATAGTATGGGGTGGTAAACAGAAGTGAGCAACTCGTGGTTTATTGCTTGGTTCATTTTATCTAATCATTCTACCATTTCAGTAAATTGGTATGCAAAACTTGACAATTTTCTCTGTAGCACTTTATGCTCAGGCATTATCTGAAAATGTTAGAATCCAATTGTTTTTGCTGCCATAGTCCCTTATGGTATATGATATCCTGGTTGTTTTACAAGCCACCAGAGTCATTTTCTGCTAGTTAGTGCAAAACAGACGTTATAAATTGGTAATGCAAATGTTTTTCTTTTTTCTCAGAACTATTGCTTAGGACAAAATATTATGTTAGAGTGTCTGATAGATTAAGTGTTGATATGTTTCCACATTAGATGTTGATTCAACTACTAGAGGGAAAGTAGCAACTGTCCTCTCTGTCCAGGGGTCATTGTACTAGTTGTGTTTTAAACATCAGTATTTGTATGCTCTCCTAAGCTATGTGATTCTCTTGCGTATTCAGTACCTAAGAGTTCTATATTCAGTATTTTTTATTTTTCGGTATTTTGCCATCTTTTTATGGTGTTTTGTCATGCAGAAATTCATTTATCTTTTTTCATGATGATTTCTTTCTCGCGTCTGATGTTTTTGCCTAGAAGATGTTTACTCAAGTTTTGTGTCGACCAGTTATGGATGGATCGCAAACATCATGAACCTTGATACTCGCCCATGCGTACCTTCTAAAACCTAGCAAGATGTTGCTTTGTAGAAGATGCTTGATTTCTACCTTTCCCATGTCATTATCCTTGGTCTTTCTTTCTCTGTTGTCCAGTCTTAATTGCCATATCATTCATCATTTCCTTGTTATCATTTATAGTTCAGTTTGCCTTGTCCTTCACCATTTCTCAGTTATCATCTACTCAACAACATTGTCATTCATCAACATTGTCATTGGATTAAATTTCTTTCTCTGTATAACAATACTTCTTTGAACAATAGTTCTTCAGTCCCTTGGTTATCTGTCTTAAATTCTTAATTAAGCTCGAAGGCTGACTTGATTATAAGTTATCTAGTTGTTTACATAGTATTTTCGAGAGCTACAGCGAGCAGTTTGTTTTCTAGGACCATGTCAAGCAGTTCTCAGTCATATAAATAGTATTTTGAGAGCTACATTTGAGCAGTTAGTTTTTTAGGACCATGCCAAGCAGAATTTCTTATTTCTTTCTTTAGTGTCTGTCATCTTTAGTTTCCCTTCCCCAGTTTTTAATATGCCCCTTTTCTTCAATCTATATTCAGTTTCTCAGTTCTTTTCTTCAGAGCTTTCCGTTTCTCTACATCTTTCACTTCACTACTTTAGTCCTCATTTTCTGTCTTCATTCCCGCTTGTGAAGTTATTTTGTAGCATCTTAGGATTCATTCTTCATTCGTCAGTTCTTCTTCTTCAGTTTTCCCCCTTTTGTTCTTTGTTACTCCCTCTGTTCACTTCTGTAAGATGTTTTAGAGTCTAAAACGCCTTACAAAAAACAGAGGGAGTACTTCATTGTCTGTTGCATCTTGTAGCTGAGATGGTAGTGGAGATAATTTCTGTTGGCAAACTACTTAGGCGAACTCTCTGTTGCGACTCTGCAAATGTTGGCGATGCGAAAGTGGAAAAGGTTATGAGTTTGAACCCATGGAACTGTCCATTCGACATTGGAAACGCGCAACGTTCTGCATGTTGCTGAGACCGAACTGCAGATTTTTTATGTTCTTCGGTTTTTATGAAGTTACTAGTAAATTTGCACGTGCAATGCACGTCTAACCTTAGACCAAAATTTTCTTGTTCATCATAGTTAGAAGGCACATTTATTCAAATAAAATCATTTAATTCTTCTCTTCATTCCGACAATTGTGCTCAACGTATTGGTCAACAGAAAATCAAAAAAATTCAATACTCAGATAACGCATTGATTGATTCCTAGCCTAAACAGAACTTCAGAAAGGGACAACAGCATACTTGCCTTCATCATTGCCGATCATGCTCGAGATCCCGAATGGCGACCCAACATGACTGAGCGCTACCCCTATAAAGCAGTCGGCGCGGCTTATCGATGGCGTAGGAAGGCCCTTCAATGCAGGCTATCGTATGTGGTGGCACTAAAGGGTGAACGTTGTTTCAAGTCAGTTGCATTGTCGCCTTGCGACGAACAAGTTGTTTGAACAGTATATAGGCCAACATCTTCGAACATGTCAAGCATTCCAATGTCAGCCAATTCTGCAAGCCAATCACTCTCATCTAGACAATTTTGAGAAGATCCACAATCATGCTTTATTTCCTCAAGAAAACACTGTTTTTGAGCTTCCTTTACATGCAAAGAGCAGCTTCGAGGGTAGCTGCAGTCAACTTATCCGACTGGCAATGCATGTCTATGCCAACATGTAATAACTAAACATAACATAGTGTAAGGAAAGTTCAGATAGTATATCAACCACAACAATTCTAATCCAAATGCAGAATTACTATCCTGAAAATTTGATGTGAAGTGGACAATCCATAATTCGGAATTTGCTTCGAAGAAAACCAAAGTGATTTAAATCATCACCATTATACAAGGACACACACACAAAAAAAAAAAAAAAAACTCGTGAGAGTCTGGATCCTCTTTTATTTTACCACTATTAGCAAAAGTAGATCCTCTTTTAGTTGGCAACTATTATTGTTAGGCGCCAAATTAAATTAGCTTAATTTTTTAACACGATTGGACGCATGCCCCAACTGCCGAAGAGGAAAAATAGTTGTTGCAGTGAAATGTTGCATCCAAATTTATATATAGAACAGAAAACAAATAATCAGATATTTGACTACTTGGTTCTCCTCAAACTAAACAAAGTGGAATGATGATGGGCATATCTTTTATGAATTAACAGGTTCAAAGTATCGGCAATCCTAGGACGAAAATGCACGGACAAATGCATGCCAATACCTGTGAATCAGAAAAGAAAGAAAAATAATCACCATCTTGTGCAACGAACAGCCAAGAATACAACTGCAAATACTCCAGGGATAAGGGTGCAAGCATGGTATCGTACATGATTTATCCAGTAACAGCTCGTGTAGGAACTTATTCTGAATTCTTTGAAACCAAAAGGACGATCTAAAAATAATTTCTTCGATGTAGAAACCTCGTCCACTCTGAAAAGAGATAACTAAAAGAAAAAAAACATATGTATCAATACAGAGGGTGTTTTGTTTACAACAATGGCTGGAAAATATAGTGCTACATCCCTGTAATAGCATCTATATATAACAACCATATAGAGATATGAATAATAAAATGGATGATAAAGGAACTGCATGGAGTAATGCACTGCTATAGGATCCTGGAGCAAAGTAAATATATGTACGATCTTCAATCTTGCAGGCACATAATGTGTTGGTTTTGTTTCTCAAGAGTTGTGTAGGTCATCATAGGAACATCTGGCTTCAGGCTTTCAACTCTTGACCTCAAACCATTTTCTTTAGTAACTAATCTGCAAATAAATCGACATGGAACTAAGCTGAGAGAAAAATAAGACTGAATTTTGCTTATAAAATCGAACCACATAGGTGCTCACCAAAGGGTGAATAAATCAATTCTGATTTCTATATTACTAAAATTGGATCTAATTCAGATGCATCTCACTTGCAGGCAGGTTAGACCCAATACCTGTATACTGATCTGAAGAGGATCGTGCAAATTAAGATTAACCATGATGATTTGGACAAGGGGCTTACATCCCAGATTGCCGGAGTACTATTGGTGTTGGTACGAACTAGCCATGATTTGGCTTCTCTGCTATCAGACCAGGACGTCGGAGTCCGTTGGGAAGCATAGGAGTATCGACGGCACCCGCACCTAAGCACCAGAAATCTCATATTTGGTCATCACAAACTCTTGTACGTTGACATATACTACTAATGTCATCTTAGTTGATTATTCCTGCACCAAAAGAGCTCCTAACAAAAGGTGCTAAACCAAAACTGGGCTGGGTCCCATATTGATATCATACGTCTCCGTATTATTTATTGGCTCACAGATCCTTGATAAACTCCTTCCCTACAGACATGTGCTCCTTAGTGTGGTAGGACCTAATATTCCCCTACTTCCCCGCCACTGCCGCCATTGGCAAACACATAAAGAGCAAGTCAAGAAGACATAATTTAACTAAACTATTCAGATAGCATAGCTTTAATCTATAGATGATTCAGCTCACTTCTTCCCATACCTACTCCACTGGAAGCAAACTGAGGATGGCTTGCTCCCAAGATCCATACCAAAGCTCATGTGTTCAGAAAGGAAATGGATAACCAATACCTACATTAAGATGCACTAAAGTTTATATACTGTCCGAAAGGAGCTACCAACTTCATAAATGGTAGTAAATACTTACGACCAAGACTTAAATAGTCCATC